GGAATATCTTTGGGGTGTGTAAAATGTAAGTTCTTGAGGGGAGTTATTGGTGGTAATTTGGTGGGGAACGAGGGGATTAATATTAAATATTACGCAATCTCCTGACTAGACTTCAATAATTATATAATATATATTTATGTATATTGCTTAGGTAACTTCCCTTAAAAGTAAAAAATAATAATACGATAATAGCTTATCACACGAAAAATCTAAACGTTAATCACAGCCAAATAAAGTTGAAATAAGTCTCTGGTTATACAGGGTGTCCCTCCATTTTGGGTATTTGGATTGTGGTTTCGTTGTGTGAAGTTGGGATACCCTGTATTGTGGACGGTACACACAAAACGAAAATATAGATCTATTTGCAAGCAAATGAATAATGGCGAGTCATTATGTAACACTATGTATATCTTTTTGAGGAAAAAATTATATTTTATAAAATAATATTTATTAGAGGATAAATTTATGAAATTCTTGATATACTCAGTTTTTTTTTTATTTGAATTCGGGGTGGCTCTTAAAGACAAATATCGCTCACTCTGTATAGGAACACGTTGCCACATCGTTTTGCGAAATTCATTAGATATTTTAATTATTTTCAATGCAATGTATTAAAACATTATTCAATCGAGTTTACATAAGATTTATACAGACATTCGAGGGAGAAATTAAACCCCAAAGAGCATGCAGTGCCGTCTCTAGGGTAGGTGCCGCACCGGGGCGAATAGTGACTACACCGATCCCAAATAACAACTTAAGAGAAAACCGGACCTTTCGCGAAAAGCAAAAATGAGATGGATTTCCTAATATAAAATTGTATTTATATGCGCGGCATTGGGAATACTTTGCGATGATATGTGTTTCGAGAATATTGAGAGCTTTACATTTGTGCCGCAGCACTCTGCAGACATTTAAAAAAACTACTAAATGTTTATTAAAACAAAAGCAATAAATTTGGCGCGTAATGGCGCGTAAATACTTTTTAAATTTCTTTTAAAAATGATCAAAGGTTTACAAATAAATCAATGTTTCTCCACACTAAGTACGCTTTATGCTGTAAGTACGTCGGAAATTTGAAAAAATGTTGGATAATATACGCCGACACTCGAACGGCGGATGTAAATATTGAAATTTTACAGAAAGTTTCTAGACACTTTGAAACACATTATACGTAACAATTTTGGGTCCGCCGACACAAATTTTTTTTTACATTAAAATCCTTAAAATTTGTTGTCGGGTCTCCATCATTAAACAAATGTGAAATAAACCATTTTCACTGATTTCTTGTTGTAAAAACGGTTAAATATCAATATTAGACAATTTATAAAGTAATAAATCATACCAAATTTTTTCATAGAAAAACAAATAAGAAATTAAATTATTTTCAATGACAATTGACGTTTTTAGAGTCTATAAATGCGGGGTTGCCAAATCGAGTAAGAAAACGTATACGACAGGAAATAGTTTGGTTAATAAAAGTTGGCTGTTTGGAAATGGCTCCAGGCCATACAGCGTAGCCGAAAAATTACATAGCTTCTGGCCAGCAGGTGAACTTGGATCCCTAAGTGAAAACATTTGTAGTAATCACATACATCCGTCTTTTTATTTAATTTCATGATGTGCGTTAATTACGGCTTGTCGGAACTTATATATTGTTTGTAAAAAATACTTTTTTTCAATTTGAGCTGTGTCCAGGCTGTTGGAGTCTATGTCGGTCAGCATGGCCAGGTATCGGTTAAAAATTTTCTGGTGGTGGCGAAGCCGCTATCCTACAAGAAGTCGTTGCTTCGTCTTCTTATTGTATATTTTCTTATTATGCCCGCGACAAAGACACGTTCGTTAAAAGTTGGGATCGAGGTTCAGTGGCCAGACGCTAGTGATGGTTGGTTAGGTTAGGTTAGAAAATACCAATATTGACGTCGAAGAGTACTCTACCGATGAGGATGAGGAAGAAGATCTTGATATTGGTATTTTTTTATATAATATTTCTGATACTGAAGTTAATTGGTTGGCCTGATACAACACAGGACATAGGTAAAAATTACCATTGCCATGTAATAAAATGGATATGGCAACATTTGTATTTCTTTTAGACACACGTCATACTGCCAATGTAAATTGTCATTGGGTTTATGAAAATTAGATCAATTTGACGAACTTGAACCTGGTCGTAAATTTAGAAAATAAACTACGAAAAAATGTGGAATGGTTTATTGCTTTATGGATGGTCCAATATTATTATTTAGCAGTTTCTATAACAAGAAATTAATCAAAATGTAGTTCAAATTCGTAAGCTCCGAAAAACTTTACAAATTTTGGAGCGGTAACAGATGACAAGATTCCATTAGACATTCGTTAAATTTTTCCACTGTCTATAATTATTAACGTAACGTAGTATAATTATAAATTTCTCTAGTTCCGATACTTTTTCATAAAAGACAACTTAACAACGCTGTCACAAATGATAAAAATGGGCACATAACCTCGAAAAAATATTCATTAATATTATTCAAGATTCAAATTATTAATTTTCGCTTACCTGTCATTTGTCACCTATAAGAAGGATATTTGTTTATTTTAATTATGCATTCCAACCACTGATCTGTATTATTTTACAGATCAGTGATTCCAACGACCTGTCCAAATGGCTACCAGTGGATAATGACAGTTTAGATATGGCAACCCTGTTGTCATGCTGTCATTAACAGGGTCAATGATACATATATAGTTATATAGATTGCTCAAAGCTGATCGTTTACGAGCGGCCATATTGCCTGTCAAATATTTATTAATTTGAATCGGTTTAGCAAAAATGTGTTTTCAAACCAATTTTTAGCCTTTAGATATTTAAAAAAAAATAATTGCTTACATTTTTACTTCAAGGCATAAGTTTATGTTTAATTTGAAAAATATGGATGATCAATCTATGTATAAACTATCTATTTCATTGACCTTGTCAAATCACCAAGCCTACAGGGTTGCCATAATTTTGCCATATCATAACCCGTCAAAACCCACTGGTAGCCATTTAGTTTGGAATGCCTAATTGTGTTGGTTATAATAGGGTTTTTGAGTTTCATTTGGTGTTAAGTTTATAAGCTTTCGTTATAAATATAATATTTATCGTGTGTTAAGACTAATTTGTTGGAAATCTTCACTTATCTGGATGCTACACAGAAGTCTAGGAATATTTGTTTACTAGACGAAAGACATTTTTATTATGCAATTTAAATGATATTTCAAGTACCTAATATTTATTATTGATAATCTTGATTAAAAATCTTAATAAGGTAAACGTACCAATAATTGACCCAAAACCAATAACTGACCATGTTCCAAATTTATTGATAATTCAAGGGTATGGTACACAATTTCTGTGCTTTTGACAGGTCTAACACTTGAGCTAACCTTTCAGGAAACTGTACCTTGATTATCCAAATCGTTTCCTATTGCCGCGTTTGAGAATCCACATCGGATGCATCTGAGATGTAAAAAATCTTTGATCACGTGATTCAGTATACGTAAATGTAATGGGACAGATGTGTCCGATGTGAATAAAAAAACGCTCGAGATGTAAAAAATGCATCCGATGTGGATTCTCAAACGCAGCATTAGATGTCTGACATTTGTCAAAATTCTTTGTTCTGTGCGATTCTTGAGAAAACAAGTAGGTTAAAATTTTTGTGAATGTGCTACTGTTGAAAAGTCGTTTTATGTACTCTTATTGTAATTTATAGACGTAGTTAGTGTATTTTATAATTTATAAACAGAGTTGATATGGTCAGATAATAGTCGCTTTCTTTTTACCACTAACATGACTAACTTACATCGCTCAGTCGCGGTGATCGGACAGTCCGTCGACCGTCGCGTTTTGACGATTTTATCCAACCAGAGTATTTAAATGGGAATGGTTTTGTTGAATCCGCTTAGCTGAGAAGGACGGCATCATGCCGCTGACTTTTCGCGAAGAGTCGGTTCATATCTGTTGAGTTTGATATCGCGGAAGCGTCGGCGTGTGCGAAGTCTATATTGTTATTATTTTTAAAACAATGAGTGACAAATTCACACATACAGATGACATCATGACTTTATTTTTAGGTTTCTTGGAAATTATGTCCTTTATAAAACTCAACACGAATTCAAAAAGATCTGTAGAAAGTCTAAAATACTCCCTAAATTTAGTTTCATTTCCAAAAAGCCTCCGCTGCACAGTGATATTAAAGGCACCTTCTGTATCGCGACACAAAAACAACTTATCCACTGGCTTATTGGAAACTTTGACGGTTGTAATTGCCAGTTCCTCTTGTTCTTCCTCTTCCCACAATAATAACAATGCAAACAATTTATTTGCGTACAAATGCAATCAAGTACAATAAATATTTCAAAGGTCAAGAAGTTGACATGAAATCTGAAGATTATGACCAAGAGGACAAGCAATTAATAAACAAAGTTCTTAAATATTTTGAAAGTAAAAATAATGGACATGGACCGGCAGAAACCAAGATGAAACACTCTTTAAAGTTTGGTAAGAAATTTTGAGAGTACAAGGATAGACAGCGAGAATGTCCAAAAAGCTACTAATGCAAACAATATCGAACATGAAGATTGGGATGGTTCCGGAAACGAGTCTAATTCAAATGAAAATGTTGAGGGCCAAAAGACCAACGCAGGCAGCACCAATTAATGATGATAAAGGTCAGCAAGCTAACGGAGCACCAATCATTGACTTGCAAAAGCCAAGCTGCTCAATTCCATTTAACGTACCTTCACCTTTTAAAAAGTGTTTGTTCAGGCCTGAGCCTGTAAAAGGTTCAAAACCAAAAAGATGTAAAGAACAAAATACCCTATGTGGCCTCTTCAGAACAATGGCAGGCTTACCATATTAAAAAACAACAAATTACAGATCAACAAGAGAAAGACAAAGAAGAAAGAAAGCTTATAAGAGAAGAAAGGAAAAATATGAAATTACGTGAACCAAAAAGTAAAAAAGAAAGTATTTGATGAAGACACATCCTCTAATTGAGAGTGAGAGTGATGGAGACGATTGTGGGCATGGAAGTGTAAATGAAGACAAAGGAGATATAAATAGCAAAGAGAACAAAATTGGACATCACGTTATTGTCAAATATGATAATAGCTTTTATCCGGGAAAAATAATAGAAAAATATATTTCCAAATATTTGATATCTGTAATGGTGTCAAGCAGCATAAATAAATGGAGGTGGCCAGTCAATAAAGATGAAATTTGGTACGATAAAGAGGAAATTACTCAAATAATTCCAGAACCAATTGGTTTAAATAAAAGAGGAATTATCTACTATTAAATACTATAAAATAAAATTGTTAATTTTAATAAAGTCTTTTATTATTAGAATTGGTCACTTATTGGCGCAAAAGTAGATCATTTATTGGAAGCTATGAAATTCAGGGCAGTCAGCTACTGGGTGTTCTGACTTTAAAATTTAAATAAATTCTATCAATAATTTATTGCAAGTATATAAGTAGTGTATTACAATAACGGGAACCAAGATTACTTTCCTTGTAAACGAGGGTTTATATTACAAAAAAAAAAAAACAAAAAAAAAAACCTGGTTGGATGGTCAGTTATTGGTGCATTTACCTTACTTATATTCTAAAGTAAAGATTGAAGCAGTTTGTAAATATGTAAACCGAAATAAAACTACCACAATGCAGAAGGCAGTTTGATTCTAGAAAAAATGTTGCAAAATCACAATAATGTGAATTTGTAGGTATCCATTTATCACAAGAAACAAAATTTTAAGGCTTGATGCTTGGAAAATAATGAAAACTTCCGTTTTGATTTTGATATGCAACCTTTACCACCATATAGATTGCAATTTTCTGAGGGCCCTTTCACAAATTTAATTTTTAATATAAACACTATCACACTATAACTATAAAAAATAAACAAACTTAATGCTCACAAGTAAGAAACAATTTGAATTGATAATTGACACAGCGGACACCACGACAATGTTGCCAACATATTGACTGATTAAAAAAAAAAAAAAAGATAAATGAACTGATATTTAAAAAAAAATCAATATAATTAAATCGGTTTTATAAAAATCCTTAAATAAATATAGAGTACGACTACATATTGGTAGGCACAAATTTCGCTACTTAAAAAAGGCCTTTCCATTATTAGAAAGTGTAAAAATCCGCTGACGTAGCGGAATTTTGCTACTGTTGGCAACATTGAAAAAATCCTACTTCCAGACACCTTTCACAAATATCCTCCAGAGGGCATATCATTTAACTTAAATCGCGGATCGAGAGTGACATGTATCTTATTTCCAGAGCCATTCCGAGTTCAAATAAAAAAACTGAGTGTAGATTAAAAATTATTTATAACACATTAAACATAAAAATATGTCGCATAAATCACTCACCTTGTAGACCATTTTTTGGTGTTTCGACGTTCCGTATTTTTTGCGAAATAGATCACTTTGTGTTGAAAGCAATAAAAATTTGGATGTGATATATAAAATCAATTATTACGAATTATATAACGAAATTAAAAAATAACCAGGAATAGGCACTTTTAGTAAAAAAATATGGACAGAGTGGATTTACTTGGTTTTTAGATTTTAAAAAATTTTAAAAATTCTTTGTTTCGTAGAGAAATTGAAAATTTTACATAATTTGTTATTGGTTTTTACATTATCAGCCGATTAAATTTTTCATAGATTAAAAACCTAATAAGAAAATAATGCTAACCAACATAGACCCATTATCGATCATTAATTTGTTTTATATAGGGTATCTCAGAAATATTTTCGTTTATCAATACGTCCGCTGACGCAATAGGAACATTCCTGAGAAAGGAGGCAGTTGGAAAATGGTGATATACAGAGCGATTTACGGGACAACAACGTGCTTTTTGTATTCTTATGTTCTTTTGCGTCGTTTGTACAGAAATTATTATAACATAGCAAGAATGAACGATGTCCTAACTGCAAATTTAATTAAATATTGGTTGAGAAAGTTTTAGAGTACTGGACATTAAATTTGCACTTGGGATATTTTTCATTTTTGCTATGTTATAATTATTTCTGTACAAACGACGTAAGTACAAGAATATAAGAGTCATTGTTTTTATAAAACACGAATACAAAAAGCACGTTGCAGCCCCGTAAATTGTTCCATTGTAACTAAAACTTAACACTGTCGACCACCGTTTGCCAACTGTCTTCTTTTTCGGGAATGTGCCTATTGAGCCAGCAAACGGATAAATAAACGAAAATATTTCTGAGACATCCTATATATACAAAATGTGTAATAAGAAATGGTAAAAATTTTAACCATAGGATGATTTTTTAAATAACACTGGGTCAAATGTTATCCACTGCTGAAATAAAGGGTGTTAAAGTCAAAATTAATTTTGTGTTTTTTGCAATATTTTCTTTACTATGATTAATTTGTTTGGTAAGGTTATTTTAAACTTTTTCTGAACTCGATCATTTTGTCTTAAAGCTATTTGATCATACCCGGATAGTATAAAATTGTCCATTGGACGTCCATTCGATATGCATTTTTGGATGTATAGACGTTAAAAAATGAGTTTTTTCTACACTACCAATGTCCAATGTAGTCCATTGGAGTATACAAATGGCACGCTTTTGACCATTCAGAGGACGTCCCTTTCTGGACTATATTTGAACATTGTACTATTAGGTAGGATCGAAAAAAAATTTTTTTTTCGAATTTGATAATGGTCCGCGTGGCAAAAGTTTCCATTCATAAAAGTAAGTTTTTTTGGCAATTTTTTTTTTAAATCAACCTCTTCAGGTGCCCCAACCCCCTCAAAAATATATTTTTTTTGCCTCAAACTATATAAGGGCAGACAGCAATCTAAAACTTAGCTGGGAGTAAAATCTTTAATATTGCTAGTTGTAAATGTAAAGACCTCAACGATTGCCATTGTTTCACAGAAAAGAAAATTCCAGCACAAGAAAGGGAATTTATAATAGATCAGCGAACTACCAGAAACCTAGTCATAAGATCAATTAATGTAGTTTCCTCCAGGGAAGATGGAACGATCCCAAGAACCTGCAGAACAATTTGAAAAATCTACAGATGAAACGGATATCAGGAAACTATCCGGTATTCGGCATATCCGGCCTAAATTTAATATCCGGCCGGATGTCGGATAGTTGCTTAATATCCGGCCGGATACCGGATATTCAATAATTACGACACAATTCGTGACAATTCCCTGAAATCAACTTTAAAAAAATCACAAAGAACAAAAAAACAACCTTCTTCTGAAAACCTAAAACTATCTTTTAATAGTCAAAATTAATAAGTGGTAAATTATGGTGAATGAAGACCAAATTTTCAGAGTTTGCAGGCAACAGTCGATTTCGCTTGTTTTCGTACACCAAGCCAGCTTCGGAAAACAGTCTCTCGCTATAAACACTGCTGCAAGGATCTTAAAGGTACACTTTGGCAAACTTGGTTAAATGTGGATAGTACTATCTTCAAATAGTAGTCGATCTCGTTTGCAATTGTGTTTTTTTCCTGATCGCGACATTGACTATTGTTTACATTTGCTACTTCATCAAAACAATTCCAAAATGTGTCGTGAGATTCGCAAGTTACATTTAAATAGATATTGGACACCCCGATGAACTACCGCTGTTAGAAGACTCGTCGTAAGTCATTTTTAGGTATTCCAATAAAATCTATCTCGCTCTTTCGGCTTCAACTGCTCCCAAATAGTTTGTTTTAAATCTCGGGTCTAAAACAGTTGCAATAAGGTAAGTCGGATCTTCACTCAAGGAGCTAAAGCGAGTTTCCAATTCAGCTTTTAAGGAGGCTCTTATTTGAGATAAGTCAGCTGTTCGTTGCGCAGTCTCATTGTTGTCCAAGTATTTTTTTAATGCAGCTACATGTGGTATAACTTCGGATATGCAGGAAAGACCAGAACTTGTGATTTTAGTTATTTCTTCGAATGGCTTTAAGAGTTTTACACACTGCTCCATTAAGAACCACTGATGAGTGGTTAAATTAGTGAGTGTGTCATCGTGATCAGCTACATAAAGAGAGATTGCCCATTTTTGTTCTAACAAGCGTTCTGCCATATATAAGGTAGAATTCCACCTCGTGTTGATATTATGCACTAATTAATGCTCTGGTAAACTTAACTCCTTTTGAAACACCAGCAGTTTCTCTTGTGCTAAACCCGAATGATTGAAGTGAGTTACGAGACGTCTACCTCTGGCAATCATGTACATTACTTCAGCCTGTATTTTTAATGACTGAGTCACATAAAATATCCTAACCTAACACTGACGTACCTGCTTTTTTTTCTTCACCGCCACGAGAAATTTTAACCTGGTACAACAAACAAACAGCTTATTATTTTCCTTATCTATTTCAAAATATTGCCAAATAGGCAATCTTTTTTTCACCATTGACATGTTTTAATTGTCTTTTACGACGCAAATCACGTAGCAAGAAGCGAGCAAACAACTGATTTTCCTTACAATGGCCGCATAATCTTCCTCGGCCTGCTAATCGCGTTCGCTGCGCCTGCGCGACGTTCGAATCCTCACATCAGGCGCTAGACGTTGGGCCGGATATTCGGCCGCCGGATATTCGGCTATCCGGTCTTGAAGCTCGCCGGATATCCGGTCAAACAACTATCCGTTGCATCCCTAAAAAATACCCAAAATTAAAGTCTAAAGATACTGCATCTGGGCCAGGAGACTCTGAAAATGAGACTAGGAATGATCCTGGAAAGTTGCCTGAATCTGATCCCCAGCCCTCTTGTTCTTCCATAATTGAAGACGTTTTAAAATTGCAAATGAGGGTATATCTCACAGCATTTACTAGTCAGTGCGATCGTTACGGTATTTCAGACAGAAGCGCTGCATCACTTTCTTCTGCCCTGTTACAAGATTTAGGCATCATTAATGGACAGGACACTTCTAAAATACTAGATTAAAATAAAGTTTGTCAGAAAAGGGAAAAGCACAGGAAAGAATTGCAAAATAAGAACATGGAGGTAGTAAAAGCTTTATATTTTGATGGACGGAAGGATAAATCTCTGACACAAACTAAGAAGGGCGATAAGCATTACTACTCGTATAGTACCATTACAGAGGAGCAAATATCGTTGGTAAAAGAGCCAGGTTTCGTTTACCTCGGCCATTTAGCCGTATCGTCTGGATCAGCTGTCGTCATTAAATATGCCATATTGGATTTGTTTAATAGAAATATCGATTGAATCGTTAATAGCAGTTGGATGTGATGGCACTAACGTCAATGCAGGAACAAACGCAGAAATAAGACTCCTAGAAATTGTTCTAAATGGTTCATTTGCATGTTACATCTAAACGCCACCTTTTAATATAACTTGATGGTGTTACTCAAGGTCCAAAAGCTTTCTCTGGTGCCATTGGAAAATTAATATAAGCTTGTGAAACCTTCCCTCTAGTCACACTCTCGAAAATTGGGAGTAACACCATTCATGATTTAGATAGAAATATTTTGAGTACTGATCAGCAATATTTGTATAATATCTTGCATGCAGTATCATCTGCAGAATGTAGCAAAGACCTTGCGAGGATTAAACCAGGACCAGTCCTACATTCAAGATGGGTGAGAACGGTGAGTAGAATCCTTCGGGTATATGTGGCATCGGAGCATCCCACGGAAAATCTGGTACACTTAGCTACATTTATCATGAAAATAAATGTAAGCCATTGTGTACTGACGGTCCGCGACATTTGTGAAGATTAATTGCATATTCAAGATATATGCCGACTGATTTAAGGGAGATAGTAGATGTCGTAATACAGAGGAATGGCTTCTATGGACACTCACAGAACCTGCTTCTAGCGATGCTGACAGATAACAAAGAGCACATCCGCAAGTTAGCACGCCGCAGAATTGTTTCTAAAAAAGAAAACAAAAATTCAACATGTCAGACACTTTTTTGACTTCGTTCTACCTTATAGATATGTAACGTGTCGTACTACCGTCAATAAACCTATTTTTTCGTCAATTTGTTTAGATTCCTGCTAAAAGTGTATTATCTACATGAAATAGGATTTCATATTTTTCTGTTAGGTCTTGCAAAAGCCTACAATTTTTGAACACACACTTTTTAAACATTCAAGAAGAGTTTACAAATAGGGTCGTATCGGATTTTTTTGAGGGGGTTGGGGCACCTGAAGTTGATTTAAAAAAAAATGTTTTTTGGCAAAAAAACTTTTATGAATGGCAACTTTTGTCACCCGGGCCATCATCAAATTCGGAAAAAAGGTTTCTTCGATCCTACTTATTGTACATCCACACAATGAATGTTAATCAATGCCCATTGAACCTTTTTGATAGGATACTGGACATTGAAAAAATGTCCGTTTCTACTTGTATCTCGATGGATACAAGGATACCAAAAGCGGATAACGGCTGCGTTAGCAAAACAAAACAAAAATTGCACGAAATATAAGTCCTCTTTGCTGACCCAAATTTCTTGGGTTTGCTACACTTTAAAGTGGTTATGAAAAGTAATTTTTGGACTAGTCCAACGGACATGTCCGGAAAAGTAATGAAAAGTCACAATGAAAAGTTGTTGACCTCGGGCACAGAAGACACAAAAAATCTTTATCCTGCACATGTTTTCAAAAACACTTTGAGAACAATATTTGCATTTATATTTTCTTTTTTTTTTTTTTTAGAAAAATAATTTATGAAATACTTTTCCAACCTTTGGATTTTTTGCTCATTTTTTCTCGTGTTTATTATTAAGATATGAAATGAAAATTCGAAAACAATGTTAACACATATAAAAGTCAGTAATAATTTGTCGTTTCTTCTGATTTATACTATATATTGCTTTTGTTTATAAGAAATTTAGACAAAATAGTTAATTTAATTTCGCGCATGCGCAATACACTTTTCCACTTTTGAAAAGTATGTATGGACTAGTCAACTTTCCAGACTAGTCCGTCAGATTTGTCCCATCTCTTTTCAGTATATTTCGTACAGTTTTGACCCCAATGTTAACATGCTTAGCAAGATTTAACAGTTTCAGCAATTAAGCAGACTTCAAGTTTCCGACTTTCGCCCTCTTTTCACTGCAGGTTCATTATTATCAGGCTCGTGATGACATTTTTTACAATTTTGTAGACAATCATTAACGATCGGAAACCAGTCACTGACACCATGATTCTGCGCAGTTGATTATTTTGACCTCAAAATTATATACTGCGCAGAATCCGGGTGTCAGTCACTGGTTTCTGATCGTTGCTGGAACAGACCTACAAATAATTCTTTTAATTGTCAAACAGAGGTTGACGTTACTATAGGTACCGTATGGCTCGTATACTTTTTTCCTAAACTGCATGAGACAATCATTAAGTAAAGGACTAAAAGCGTGTATTGACGTACAATGTGTCATTTTGAAAATTGAAATAAATATTATTTTTGTAAGTTTGAACTATATACATAATATAAGTGTTGAAGGTTTTCAGCAAATAACTTTCTCTTTTTAATAAAAATAAATAGTACTGCTGCATAACGAAAATAATTTATAAATCAGCGTAATTATTTTTTGCTGATTGCCTACTTTGTTGAAATATTGTCCACTAAATTAAATAGAGAAAATTTTAAATGAAAATTTCTCGAAATTGAATTTATGCTAATAAAACAAATATACATTTTTTGTTTAAATTTAAATTAGAAATTATAAAAAACAAAAAAATGGACAGTTTTCTTCAACTAGTATACATGGCATCCTATTTTTTTAATCTCAAAATTGTTAAAACGCTTATGATTTACTTTCGCAAAAATTTAACCCTACCAAATTTTAAACTTTTAGGTCAATAAGTTAAATAATCACGAAAAATATTGCCCAAAAACGAAAAATAAATTTTATCTTTAACCATGTATCTCAGTATTCGACAACATTTGACCCAGTGTTATTTAACAAAATATTAAAATTGAGATACTCAACCTATGGGTAAAATATTTACCATTCCTTATGAAACACCCTGTACACGACACGTAAAGAATATGGTGATGTTTCTATCTAAATAAAATATTACGATAAGTGGCATTCGAAAACTTCATAAATTCCCTCAAGATTCTGAAAAGAGAGGTCTACTTTTCAACGTGAAAACGTGAAAACAAAAAACCGTAAAACCACTCTGAACCATATAAAAACATTCTTGCAACTGCAGCCTATAAAAACAAACGTCAGAAGCTTACAGACAGATCGATCGTTTTCTAATCATCGATCTAAATAATAATACCAACAAATTTGGAGCTCCCCAAAATCGGCATAAATCACTTCAACGGGGCGTATTAATGTGAGTGGTCAAATGCTTCGATAAGTAATCAGCTCTGGCGAAGCATTTGCCACACATATCACAGTGGTAGGGCCTCTCCCCTGTATGGATTCTAAGATGGCGGGTAAGGTCGCTTTTGCCTCCGAAGGCTCTGCCGCAGAACAGACAAACGAAAGGCCTCTCTCCGGTATGTTTCCTGACGTGGAGTTTCAGGTTCTCTTTACTTCTGACGCATTTGCCGCAAAACGGACAGGCGAATCTGCGTTCGCGTTGTCGTTCTGCCGAATCGGCCCTTAGGAAGTTGATGATGGACGATTCGGAATTTCGAAGGAGATCGGTGGGACAGCCTGAGGTGCCTTGGTACGAGAATGCTATGGAGTCTATGGTGTCGTCTTGTTCTGCTTCGGTTTTTTCTGCGTCGGAGGATGTGCCTTCTCCTGCAAAACGAACCAACGATTTAATAAATCCTTTACTATAAATAGAACTAAATAAATATAATATTCAAAGGCCCGAGCTAGAGCTATCTGAGCATAATGGTACATTTTAATATGACTTAGTTGTTGAGAAGTATCGAGAGATAAAAATCGCAACATAAATAGTATTAGAATTATACATTTTATATTTTTATGTAGTTAGCTGTTGTTAGTTGTCAATAAAAAATATATACTTGTCACGTTTACTTCAAAAAAAGGTTCGTCTACTTTGGAATAGTCTGTAAAAGGTCTTTACAAAAACATACCACATATTCCTTAGACCAAAATAGGTCGATTTAAGTAAAATTACCTTAGTACAAAGTTGCTTCGTTTGGGCTCCAGAGGGCCTTGAAGTTACAATTTTTAAATCGTTTTTCCCATATAAATTTAAAACGGCATATGCGATTTTGCTGAAATTTGGTATATTGGTAGAGTTTTATGTGGCAAAAAAAATGGTATTAAAAATTTGTCCGATAATAATACATAGGCGTAGAACTTGATTTTTTAAATAAATGCACCTTTAAAAATTCTACGCCAATGGAAGAAAAGGAATTTGAGTATGAAATTTAGATTTCGCAACTCATTTACTCTAAAAAAGGTACTCTTGATAAGACTTGATTACTCTCATGGTTTTGACGAAATTTGCATTTTAGTAATTTTAGAACATAAACAATAATTATTAAAATACAAACTTTGTCAAAATCATGAGAGTAAATCGAGTGTTATCAAGGGTACTTTTTTGTAGTAAATGAGTACCCAATCCAAATTTCATACTCAAACCCCTTTTCTGCCATTGGCGTAGAATTCTTAAAGGTGCAATTATTTAAAAAATCAAGTTCTATGCCTATGTATTATTATCGGACAAAATTTTATACGATGAAAAACATAAAAATGTACTTTTTTCATATCTTCTTCAACACCTCTAATCGCGACTTTTAACAAAAATACTCGATTCTTACCATGTACGATTTTTTGAGGAATATTAATTATTTGCCTGCAATACGTATACAAAAACATTTATTGTTGGTTTCCATAGTTTCATCTAAATAAAAATATTGTCAAGTTTTAACAGCTAATCTCTTGTTAACGATTGAAAGTGTTCTATCTGACTCAATAATTAAAAAAACAAATGCGTGGTTTATTAATATGGCTGTACAATATGCCAATGCAGAATATACCGATATGTTACTGACATTAGGATTTTGTGAAGGAAATGCTCGAGAGAGAGTGTCAGGGTGTACTCTGAAAGGTTTCCAAATCGTCGTGTACCTAGCCACCCAACTTTTGCTGCTGTTGAGAGACGTCTTCGGGAGACCGGTTCCTTTGCTCCCAACACTGTTGATAATGGAAGAGAATGTTTCGTAAGGATTCCTGAAGTTGAAGAAGACATTTTAGAACGTGTTGAAGAAGATCCAGAATTAAGCACCGGACGTATTGGAAGGGAACTAGGAGTAAGTAAAGATGTCGTTCATAAAGTGCTTAGAGAACAATTGCTATATGTATACCATAAGAAACCAGTACAAGAATTATTAGTCCATGATCCTCAAATTCATTTGGGTTTTTGTCGATTTGTTAATATGCAAAGAGAAAGAGATCCAAACTTTGTCAAGAAGGTTCTCTTTACGGATGAAGCGAGTTTTACAAGAAGAGGTATAACTAATACCCATAATGAACAAGTTTATGCCGTTGAAAATCCGCATGCAATAAAGGTAAACCATTTTCAGCACGAATTCAAAATTAATGTGTGGGCTGGAATAATTGGTAATTTCATTGTTGGTCCTGTCATACTTCCACGAAGATTAACTGGAGAAAATTATTTGGATTTTCTACAAAATACGTTGCCAGAATTGTTAGAAGATTTACCTCTCCAACTTCGGAGAGATATGTGGTTTATGCAAGATGGAGCTCCACCACATTTTTCTTTAAACATTAGAAACCACTTGAATGAACAATATCCACACAAATGGATAGGCAGAGGTAATGACGCACCTGTAAACTGGCCACCACGTTCCCCAGACCTAACACCGATGGATTACTTTTTATGGGGACATCTGAAATCCACAGTTTACAGGAAACCAGTAGAAAATGAGGAACAACTCTGGCAACGTATTCAAGATGCAATAAACAATCTTAGAGGTGATGAAGAAGTTATGGAAAGGATACATTTTAATTTTCTTCGACGTATAAATCTTTGTATGCGTGAAAATGGTGAACATTTTAAACAATTTTTGTAAAATCTCTATTTTGATTATGTTGTAAATAAATATTTTTGTGAAACATATACACTCTAAATTATTAAAACAGAAATTTAGCGAAAACCATGAAAGTAATCGAGTCTTATCAAGAGTACCTTTTTCAAGGTAAATGAGTTGCGCAATCTAAATTTCATACTCAAACTCCTTCTCTTCCATTGCCGTAGAATTTTTAAAGGTGCAATTATTTAAAAAATCAAGTTCTACGCCTATGTATTATTATCGGACAAAATTTTAATACCATTTTTTTTTTGCTAAATAAAACTACCAATATACCAAATTTCAGCAAAATCGCATATGCCGTTTTAAATTTATATGGGGAAAACGATTTAAAAATTGTAACTTCAAGGCCCTCTGGAGGCCAGACGAAGCAATTTTGTACTAAGGTAATTTTACTTAAATCGACTTATTTTGGTCTAAGGAATATGTGGTATGTTTTTGTAAAGACCTTTTACAGACACCCTGTATAATAGTATATAAAATCGTACTGGTTATAGCTTATTCTTTATTATCCATCCAGCTTGCAAAACCCACCTTCTGCCTATAGGTTATGGGCCCAAGAATCAAGGAATAAAAGATACGTTTAAAGACGTGAACCAGGAAAGTATAGCAGATATAGATATAGCATGTTACCAAATTTAATGGTAAAAATTATAAGCAGTGGAAATTCCAGATGAAATGTGCGTTAAAATACTGCAGATCTGGAAACATGGGATAAGAAAAATGTCCAAGCAATGTTTGTTTTGACCTCTGCTATGAATTTATGTCAAATTTCATTCCATATAGCAGCAAAAATCTGAAACTAACAAGATGTTGGTCCATGAAAAATTTCACCAATATAAAATCGATCTTAGTGACTCAGTGGCACAATATATTGCGAAGGTTGAAAACTTGGCAAAAGAGCTACGAGATGCTGGTGAAACAGTAAGTAATGCCGCTATAATGACAAAAATATTAAGCACCTTGCCATTGAAATACAGAATTCTCAGGCAAGCGTGGTTATCCTTAGCAGAAGAAAAACAAACAATTACAAATCTCACAGCACGACTTTTAGATGAAGAAGCAAGTCTTACTTCGTATGAAGAATCAGATACTCCTAGAGTTAACAAATCAAACCTTTTTTGCTGTTATTGCCGAAAGAAGGGTCATGTAGTACGTGAATGTCGTAAAATATTAAATAAAAAAAAAAAACAGCAATTAAATACTTCTAAAACAACCAATGACGAGAATAACCAAAATTCTCCTTCAACCAGTATGACTGCATTCCATGTAGAAGAAGAAACTTGTTGTAACCAAGCTTACTGCGATGAAGATATATGGATTATGGATAGTGGGGCCTCAACACACATGACTCACAAAAGAGAGTATTTGTTAGATTTTGAAGAGGTCGAAAATGCAAGTCCAGTAGTACTTGGTAATAACCAAAACCTAATTGTTAGAGGAAAAGGGATTGTAAGAAATGAGAAGCATATACAAGGAAATTGACATGACTCCGTAATTACCAATGTTCTATATATCCCCGATTTAAATAGAAATTTATTTTCTGAAGGTGTCTTAACCATGAAAGGGATGACAATAGTAAAGCAAGATTGGCAAGATTGAACGCGACAACCGAACTATTATCAAAAGTGCACGCTCGATGTTATACAGTGCTGGTGTTCCGAAATGTGTCCGAAATACATGTGGGCAGAAGCCGTCAATACAGCTGTGTACATACTTTAATCGTTCACAAATTCATTCCGCAAATCATATTACTCCATATGAACTGTAAACCTCAACTCTCTCATACTTAAGTTTTTGGCTGTGAAGCATTTGTTCATGTTCCAGATCAAAACCGGAACAAACTTGAACCCAAAAGTCAAAACTTAATATTTGTAGGTTATGATGGTTTGTCAAATAATTTTAGATTATTTGATCCTGTCAAAAAGAAAATTGTTGTCTCCAGAAATGTCATATTTAATGAAAATGTCAAAGGATTCACTGAGAAACCGAATCTAATACCTATATCTATAGACTATGAAGATGTAACAGTACTTCCCAAAGATGAAGTGGAAGTTACAGAAATTGAGTCTCTACAAAAAGTTATTCATGAGACAAGCCGTCCAAAACGAAGTAGAAGAACTCCAGAACGATTCAATGATTTTCAACTTAATTATGTTGAAGTGGATGTACCAACTACGTACGAAGAGGCCATGCAAAGTAAGGAGTCCAATTTTTGTCAAGAAGCAATAAAGGAAGAATTAGACGCTCTTAATAAGAACAACACCTGGGATACAACAACCTTGCCAAATGAGAAGAAAGCAATTGACCCTAAATGGGTGTTTAAAGTTAAACGTAATGCTGATGATAATATTTCAAGGCACAAAGCCAGATTATGTGCTGAAGGTTTTGCACAAATAGAAGGTGTTGATTACGATGAAATTTACTCACCTCCTATCAGGTATGACTCCATACGAGTCTTATTATCAATTTCCGCAAGGTACCAATATGAAATGATACAAACATTAAGACTACATTCTAATATGGTGAACTAGACGAAGAAATTTACATGAAGTGTCCAAAAGGTATAAATACATTGCCAAATGAAGTATGTAGACTAAAAAAATCTGCATACGGGTTAAAACACTCCCCACGTTGTTGGAATAGAAAAAAATTCAGTGGTTTCCTAAAAACGTTCGGCTTTCTCCAAAGTAACGCAGACAAATGTGTTTA